TCAACCAGTGAAAGTCCACAAAAACAAGAAGAGCTGAAAAAATGGAAACAGAAGACAAAGATTGAGGAGAGAGAGGAAATGAAAGGTGAAAACAAATTGAAAAATGTATCAAGTTATTACAAAATGTTGTTGTGAACAATAATAATAATTGTGTGACAAATCTTTGAAGAATTATGTTAGTGCCATAATGTGGCATCAGTAGTATTGTTAACAGTACAACTTAAAGGAAACAACTTGAGGAATAGAGGCTGTGATTGCAAATCTCTCTCTGTACTTTTTCCCCTTAAGGTACTCCACCCCTCACTGTAATACCCTTCACTGGAAAAAAACTGGAACAACTCACAGGAAAGGAAGGTAAATGAGAACCTTTGTTTGCATTGATTTCTGAAATGAATATGTACATGTGTATTCTATCATGCCAATTTTAAAGCAGTGCTCTGTTGAGATTAAAAATTTAGGCTGGTTATTTAAATAGTTAAGCTTGTTGTCATTTAAATAGTAAGGCTGGTTATTTAAATAAAGTTAAGCTGTTGTTTAACAAAGTGGCATTCTGAGACATCTTTAATTTATAAAACTTTCATTTGAAGAGATACTTTTGAGAGCAGTGTAAAACCTGGTCTTAGGGTTAGATTTGGTTAACCAAACTAACAATGCCTTGAAATATTTTCGGTTCTCATTAAAACGATTATTTTGAAAGGAAAAAAAAACTTAAATCTAGTTGTCCCTCACTCTGTCATTTGGTGTGCAGGGAATATTAAGATGGTGGTGGCTGGGGATGGTGAAACTTACAGCATTAATTTCAAGATTTAAAAATATTCCTCAAATGCAAAGTGAAATCTTATGTGGAATGATACTCAAGACAAAGTCCAGGGGACTATTCAACAATATTCACTGAGCTTGAGGCAAATAGTTCTTTTAGTGTATTTGCTCCAGTGGTTTTGAATCCTGTAATTTATAAATTTGTTTTGTTGTTGAAACCATGCAGTTTGTTACAAAATACTGTTTGATTCCTTGCATTGATCGAGACAAGTGGCCAGTTTCCACCAGAATTTAAAAGGTTTATTTAAATAATCAGCAAAGACTTCATATCTTTCTTTGAAAGGAGTTACACCAAACTTAGTGGGATCTTTTGTGCTCTGTTGCATCTACACTCCCTTACTAAATCTACATATATGTAACATATACATGTTACATATGTATGCCACATATATGTGGCATACATGTCAAATATATGCCACATATGTGCAACATAAATGTGGCATATGTAGGAATTTGGCACTCATGGTGCATGTATATCACATATATGTGACATATATATGTAACA